CTAGGCCGGCGATTGCTGCCTCATATTCGGCTTCGTTGTTCGAGGCCTTAAAAGAAAACTTTAGTGCATACTCGAAGGATTTGCCTTCGGGAGAAGTTATCACTACTCCTGCCCCCGAACCGTTTTCGGTGGAAGATCCATCCGTAAACACGGTCCAGAATTTCTTTTCATTGTCTAGCGCTTCTTGGTATGAGCATTCGGCCAAGAAATCCGCTAGAGCTTGAGCCTTAATGGAAGCCCTCGGACGGTAGCTGATGCTGAATTCGGTGAGCTCAAAAGCCCACTTGGCTAGCCTACCAGATTTTTCAACCTTGCCGAGAACTTTTTCCAACGGCTGATCAGTTAAGACCACTATCTGATGGCAATCAAAATAGGGCCTCAGCTTCCGAGCAGCTACTACTACCGCGAAAGCGACTTTCTCGAGTAGAGGGTAGCGAGTCTCGGCATCCGTCAGTGTATGACTGACAAAGTAGATCAGTTGCTGACTTTTACTTTCTTCCTTCAGCAGTACTGCACTGATGGTGGCTGGGCTAACGACCACATACAGGTACAAAGTTTCTCCTTCTGCTGGGCTAGCCAGCGTTGGGAGTTAAGCCAGATGCTCCCGAAGCTGTTTAAAGGCGTCTTTTTGCTCTTCCTCCCAAACGAGCTCTTTTGTTTTCGGGAGTTTCAGGGCTTTGAAGAAAGGTAACCCCTTATCCGAAGCTCTGGAAATGAACCTCGAGAGGGCTTCCATTCTTCCGGTGAGCCGTTGAACATCCCGCTTTGTTTTCGGCTCAGGAAGGTCGAGCGCTGCTTTGACTTTGGAGGGATTGGCATCAATCCCCCTTTTGCTGACTATGAACCCAAGGAATTTCCCTGACTTCACGCCGAAGACACACTTCTTCGGATTCAGCTTCATTTGATGCTTTCTTAAGGTGGCGAAAGTTTCAGCCAGGTCCTTAACATGGTCCTCAGGTTTTTTGCTTTTGACGATCGAATCGTCGACATAGACTTCCATGTTTCGGCCCTTTTGATCGGCAAAAACTTGATCCACCAGCCTTTGATAGGTTGCCCCCGCATTTTTCAATCCGAAGGGCATCATTTTGTAATTGAACACCCCAGCGTTTGTGACGAATGCTGTCTTTGCTCGATCGTCGGGGTGCATGAATATCTGATGATACCCCGAGAATGCGTCCATGAAACTAAGCAAGGCATGGCCACTTGTCGAATCGACTAGCTGATCGATCCTCGGCAAGGGATAGAAATCCTTCGGACAAGCCTTATTTAGGTCCGTGAAGTCAACGCACATCCTCCAGGTACCATTGGCCTTCTGAACCATCACCACATTTGCCAGCCATTCTGGATATTGGCAAGGTTCGATGAAGCCTGCCTCCAGCAATTTTTTGACCTCGGCTGCGATGTCTCGGTTCTTATTAGCGGAGTAATTCCGCTTCTTTTGCTTAATTGGTCGACACGTTGGGTCAACATTAAGCTTATGGGAGATGAGGTCTGGACTTATCCCGGGCATATCAGCTGCCGAGAAAGCAAACACATCTTTGTTGTCCCGAAGGAGCTGAATAAGTTCACAACGGGTGTTCGGATCAAGGTCCATCCCGATTGTTACACATTTCTCAACGTCTCCTTCGGCCAACTCAACTGTTTCAGTCTGTTGGTCCATGTCCATTGCTGATGGACTGGACTCTTCATAATCTGGCCTGCTGCCTATGTCTGCAGGTGTCCCAGTCTTTTTGTTCTTCGGCTGGCTCTCTGAGTCTTGCTGTTCAGCTGAAGAGCTAGCCTTTTCCCTTTCGGACCCTTTACCTCTGGGTACAGATCCTTGGGCCGAAGCACTTAGGCCTTTCGGCTTTTTTGTGCTTGGCTCTCTTTCTTTTTCTTTCTCCTCCTCATCCTTGTCGTCATCTGGGCGACTACTGGATGGCTTGAGGTAGTTGCACCTTCGGGCGTCCTTTTGGTTGCCATGTATCCTTTCGGGGAAGCTAGCGTCTGAGACGTAAATCATCAGCTGATGATAAGTTGAGACGACCCCTTGGATCTCATGAATTATGGGTCTCCCCAAAATCACGTTGTACACTGAAGGAGCGCCAATGACCAAAAATTCAATCATGACGTTCCTGGCTGCCTCATCGCAGCCGATGGTGATAGGAAGTGTCACCTTCCCATCTGGGTAAGTTGAAGCCCCGTTGAACCCGGATACCGGGTAGGGTACCGGCGTAAGGTGCTTGTGCTTCAGCTTGACTTGATTGTAGGCCTTTCGGAACAGAATGTTTGCTCCGCTGCCACCGTCAACAAGGACCTTACTGACGTCGTGGTTGGCCACCGTGGCGATGATCACCAACGGATCCTCGTGAGGGAACGTTATCCCCCGGCAGTCGGCGGCTGTGAACGTCATGTTCGGCACCGGTGATTGGGGAGACTGAATGTCAGCGTTGTTCACCTGGTGAGTCAAAGCCCTAAGGTGTCGTTTGTGCTCCCTCCGAGAGCATATTCCTCCCGAGATAACATTGATCGGAGAGAATTTCCCCTCCGGCTTTTTACTGTTCTTCCGGGAGAAGTCGAGGTCTTGCCGAGAGTCCTTTGCTGACTTCTCGGACTCTTTTTTCTCGCGGTGATCCGCGATGTATTTTTTCAAGTATCCCTTCCGGACCATGTCCTCTATCTGGTCCTTCAGTTGGATACACTCCTCAGTGTTGTGTCCCGGAGATTCGTGGAACTCGCACCACTGATTTTTATTTTTTCGCTGATACCACTCTGGGAGTGGTCTCGGCTTTCGGTAACTCTGCTCCTCCTTCGTCACGCTGTAAATTTTGGCGCGTGGAAGAGAGAGCGGAGTGTAGGACTCGTATCTGCCTGTGTATGAGGCAGATTTTTCCTTCTTTGGGTCGTTGGCCGAAGATTGCTCCGAGGCCTTTGACTTTCCCTTTGCCTTATGGCCTTGGCCTTCAGACAAGGGTATTTGTCTTTGTTTCCCTCCCCCGAATTGAGGTTGGGTTTTCGCTTTGTTCCATTCTTCGGCTCGGATGAACTTATCCGAGGCATTCAGAGCTTCCTCCAAGGTCTGCGGGGTATGCATGACCATGAAGTCTAGGAACTTCCCGGGCTGAAGGCCATTCTGCATTGCAAAAACGGCTAGCCCCTGGTCCAGCTGAGAGACGTTGGATGACTCGTTGCTGAAACGGGTCAGATAGTCTCGGAGGCTTTCGGTTTCCCCCTGTTGCAGACTCATGAGTTCTGCAGTAGTCTTCTCTCGGCGGTTTGCCGTGGAAAACTTGCTCCTAAATTTGGAGGACAGATCATCCCACCCTGTTATAGAGCCTTGCTTTACTCCCTTGGAGATCCATGCTTGCACGACCCCCTTGAGAGTGGTTGGGAAATATTTGCACCAAGTCGCTTCGGATCTGGGGCAAAGATGCATATGAGCCTCATACGAGGCAATGTGGTCCTTCGGATCTGAATTTCCATCATATGTGATGTGCGACGGTATTTTAACCGTGGGCACGTGCTCTTCCAGTATCCATTGCTCGAATGGCGAACTGGCGGGTAGCATAACGGCCTTGCCCTTGTTCCTGGCCGAAGGGACCGCGCTCCGCCCTCTTAGAGAGGTAGGAGTGGTTTTCGTCCCTGGCTGGGAAGTCTGGGCCTCGGCCGCAGGGAACGAGAGGCGACTGTGCACGCTCGGTTCCTTGCCGCCGAGTCGGTCGAGGACGCTTCGGCGAACAGTCTCAGGTCGTTCTCGGTGAGTAGATTCTGGCCGAGAAGTTGAGCTGCTGCTCTTATGCGTTTCTGGTAAGGAGGATGAGGATCCTTTGAAAAATTGAGGGTTCTTTTTCCTCTCTTTTTCAGTTTTCCAAGTATCCTCTTCCCACCATCACGGTCTAGCTTCCTCCGTTGATGCCGGGTATGCGGAGGAGTTCGATCACGAGGTGGTGGCATATTTTGTGCCCTCATTGCCTCCATGAGCACTGCCAGCGCTCTTGCCACCTCCTCCGAGCTGGGCCCCGCCAAAGGGGTCCTCGGCCGAGTATGGGAATGAGAGCGCACAGTCGATGGTTGGCTTTGGGGCACTGAATGTGTCCTATGATCGGACTCACCCCTGCTAGACCGAGAGTGACTCGGCCTATGATGAGAGTTATGAATTACGGGAGAAAGGGAATCCTCCCTGTATGATCCTCCCCCCGAGCTGGCACCCTTGGGAGAGTTCCGGTCCGGCGAGGGTGATGGTGTAGGGGTTTTAGGCTTTTCGCCTGCTCCTTGACGGAGGCCTTTGCTCTTGCGGTTCTTAGCCATTGCTACTAAGAATATTGCAAGATGATCTTGGTTAGAAATTTGGCTTAAAGATTTTTGAAAGTCTTCCCCACAGACGGCGCCAAATTGTTTCGGATGAAATCAATGGGACCTTGTCGAAGATCCGATGAAGTGGAGAAGACTAGATTCGATCCAAGTAATGTTGGGCCGAAGGTTTCCTGCACAGTAAACACACGTAAACTAGCCTCGGGGGTGTTGCCGAGGAAGGCCCCTCCGATGCTAAAGTCAGTACAGTGTGTAGAAAGAGAACACTATGCAAGAGAATTAATTGCTTGAGGCTTTTTTCTTAAATGAATGTACAAATGTAATATTGATGGCTTTTATACCTCTGCATACATGGAGAAGTTGGGCCTTAGCCCAATTGGCTTGCCTTGAGGACTGATCTTTGACTTTAGCACAATTGGAGAGATGAACCTTGACCTTGGGCTTTTAATTGGATCATTTAATGCCTAGGCCCAATTGGACTAAATTGGACCCAAACAGATGTATAGTAATATTTTTATTTTGACAGAATGATAAATTAACATGTTAAATTTTAAAATTAAGATAAGATGATATGTTTTGAACATCTAAAACACCTTTTAATAGACACTATAGATAATAATATCCCCAAATATCGTGGGCTATAATTAGGGAGAATGATTAATTACTCCAACGCAACAACTACCTTATTGACATAAAACTAGATGAAATTGATGTTGAAACGCAACAACTGAAAGCGATCTTGCACTCGCTACATCCAAAGTCAAGATACCGTCTTTCCCCCCTCATTTTCTCTCTCCTCTCATCGATCAACAAACCCTCATTTTCCGATCAACAATTTTGCTGCAGTATGTCGGATGCTCTCATCAATGGCCTCGCCGGCGCCGGCGGCGGTATCATCGCTCAGCTCATCACTTATCCTCTTCAAACTGTACTCCTCTCTCTCTTCTTCATTTTCAATTTTTCATTTGCTTAATTTGAAATTCAATGGTCTAATTTTGATCATTGGTTTTATATTTGAATTTATTGAAATTTGTTTGAAATTAGGTTAATACTCGGCAGCAAACGGATCGGAATACGAAGAAGGAGAAGAAGAAGCTTGGAACTCTTGAACAAATGTGTCAGGTATTTGCTTCATTATTTTTGAAATTTATTTTGAAGGTATTATTTCTTCAAATTGAGCTTTAATATTGACTGGATTTCGGAATTTCGGGTGAATTTGGGTGTAAATTTAGGTTGTGAAGCATGAAGGATGGGGGAGGCTGTATGGAGGTTTGACACCGTCATTAGTAGGTACTGCTGCTTCTCAGGTGAGAAAATGTTGTCAATTGTTTATCTCCGTCGCACTTTAATATGCCACATTTGGTTACTATATTTTAAAAATAATTACTCCGTATCTTAGTATAATGCCAAATGATGAGATTAATACGAGGAAACACAAAATGTAACTTGCCAAAGAGAGATGAATTTTATTTTGGACATCCTTAAATTGAAATGTGGCCTATTGAAATTGAAATGAAAGGAATATTTTTTTAAGTTTGTCCATTAGTTATATTTGGCATTGCTACTTCATTTTGTATGGTGCTGGTTGAAGAAGTAAATTTTGTTTGTATATTTAGCTTATTTCCATATTCAAGGTCTCATTAATTGATATGATTTTTGTATGTTTTGGAAATGAAATTGAAATATTTGGTTTTTCTTACGGACACTCAGTTACATTAACTTGCGTAGTTTTTTAACCATGAGTTTGTGCTATTATTTGCGCATTGGGGGTATATGGGATTGCTATTGCTGTTCAATAATGTGTGCGAGGCTGCGAGCTGTCTTGTCTTTTTCTTCATGGGTGATTTTGGTGGGCTGTTGGCTCGAGTTAGGATATTGCAATCAGAAACAATATTACTTCGCTAAGGCTGTGACTTTCTCAAAGCAGATCCTAAAAGAGAAGTCATACAATCAATATTTATTCCTAGCTGGTTCATGAGAATAGTATGACTCAGATTTATCTGGAACAGTAAATTAATAACTTCTTGTTCATCTTTGATTACGCAATTAAAATGCTTCCCTATTGTTTCATTTTTCGAAAACTTTGCTTGGTGGTAGTTGTCATTGACATGTTCTAAAGTTGACGTATACTCAAATACATGGTGTAACGTTTTACTTGTGCTTTACTGTAATATTGGGATTTGAAAGCAATAAAGATGATATTTTTAGGGAAGAAGGCAGCTATTTCATTGAATAAAGATTGAATCTTGCAACAAGGTGGCTTGAGGCCACTACTCTCTACTAGCACCTTTAGGGCACAATGCTCTACACTCTAAGGTTTACAAATTACCAGCTACCCCGCACACTCCTACTCCCCCTTTACTTATATGTACACAATCAGCCAAAAAAAGGAAGAGGACAAAATAAGTAGCAGCTGTCATTCTTAGAGAGGGCTCTGCCAGCAATCATTAGCTTGATTTGGTGGCTCCTCTGATGGGCCTTGCAGCTGCTGCCCCTTCTTCCTTTTGCGCTCATAGGTGATCCAATCCTTGTTGTGCTTGCTACCCACGGCATTCGTTGCATCTTTCCCCCCTACAAGAGTCACCTTGTCCTCAAGGTGAAAGGATGGAAATCTCTCTTGTATGATGGCAGCCACTTCCCAAGTTGCCTCAATTAAGGGCAGTCCCTGCCACTTAATTAAGACTTCCAAGATGTCTGGGTTGTTCTTAGCAGTCCTTAAACCCAGCACACTTTCAGGTTCTGCTCTGAGCTCCAGCTCTTCAGTCAGTTGGGTGGGTATGGTAGGGTTTGCTGTTTGGTCTCCTACTGCGCGCTTGAGCTGAGAGACATGGAACACGGGGTGGATTTTGCAAGTTGCTGGCAGCTCCAGCTTGTAAGCCACTTGACCAATGCGTTGGAGCACCTTGAAAGGACCATAGAAACGAGGAGCTAGTTTCTCATTTGGTCTCTTTGCTAATGATTTTTGTCGATAAGGTTGCAATTTCAGGTAAACAAGGTCCCCTACCTGACATTCCTCCTCCCTCCTTCGCAAATCTGCATTGTGCTTCATTCTTTGTTGTGCCCGAACCAAATTCATGTGCAAGTCATCTAAAACCCAGTCTCTCTCCTGCAGCCACTCCTCCAGCCTATCCACAGGCGTTTGTCCCTTTCCCACCTTGATTAGTCTAGGCGGATCCCTCCCATACACTACCCGAAAAGGTGTAAACCCAGTAGAGGCATGATATGCTGTGTTGTAGGCATATTCAGCCCAATGCAGCCACTTACTCCAAGACTTAGGCTTACCATTGACAAAGCAACGTAGGTATGTTTCCAAGGTTTTGTTGACAACCTCGATTTGGCCGTCGGTTTGAGGGTGGTATGCGGTACTTCTCTTGAGGTCCGTCCCTTGCAACCTAAACAGCTCTTTCCAGAACACACTCATGAAGATTCGATCCCTATCCGACACAATTGAGATAGGCATCCCATGTAGCCTCACAACTTCTTTAGTGAACACCTCCGCAATAGTTAAGGCACTATATGGATGCTTCAACCCAATGAAGTGCGCATACTTGGACAACCTATCAACTACCACTAACACTGAGTCTATCCCCTTAGAATTGGGCAGCCCTTCTATAAAGTCCATTGAGATGTCCTCCCAAATACTCCTTGGAATAGGTAAGGGTTGTAACAGTCCCGCCGGTTGCAATTGAGAGTGTTTGGCTTGTTGGCAAGTAGCACATTGCTTGACATACATTCCCACATCCCTACGCATCCCAAACCAATACCATTCGGCAACCAATCTTAGGTAAGTTTTTGTTTCACCTTGGGGTCCCCCCACCGGACTATCGTGATATTCGATCAAAAGCTTAGAAATTAATGGTGACTCTCTCGGAATTACCACTCTTCCCTTAAAGAGCAGCTTATCTCCTTCGAGTGTGAACCCAACACGAGCCCCCTGCCCTACTGCCAAGTCTCCCATAATTTTGCCAAGGTCTTCATCAGCTCTCACCTCCCTCTCTAGCCCTTCCCAATCAACCTTTGAAACTGAAACCAAGGCTGCCAGCTCTTCAACACTCCCACCCTTGCGGGACAGAGCATCCGCCACTCTATTACTCGCACCGGGCTTGAATTGGATCTCGAAGTCGAAGCCCAATAATTTCCGAACCCATTTTTGGCACTCTCCATTCACTTCCCTTTGCTCCATCACATACTTTAGACTTTGTTGGTCCGTTCTTACCACAAAGTGACGTCCAAGTAAATAATGCCGCCATTTAACCACGGCCAAGCAGATTGCCATCAATTCCTTCTCATATATAGCCTTGGCTTGCGACCTAGGGCCTAGTAACTTGCTAAAGAAAGCTATTGGCCTCGATTCTTGCATCAAGACAACCCCCAACCCAAAGCCCGAGGCATCTGCTTCAATTACAAATTTCTTGCTGAAATTTGGCATCACTAAAACAGGGGATGAAGTCATTGCCCCCTTTAGCCGTTCAAGGGCGGCTGTAGCCTCCGATGACCACCCAAAACTGTCCTTACGCAGCTGCTCCGTTAGTGGTCTGGCAATTTGAGCGTATCCCTTAATAAACTTCCGGTAATAGTCGGTCAATCCAAGAAATCCGCGCAACTCCTTCAGGTTTTGTGGAATTGGCCAATCAACCATAGACTTCACCTTCTCCGAATCCACTGCCACCCCTTCTTTCGACACCACATGCCCCAAATATGCCACCTTAGACTGACCAAACTCGCATTTCTTGAAATTAGCCACCAAGCAATGCTCTTGTAATTTGGACAACACTACTCTCATGTGTTCCAAGTGACTCTCTCTCTATCGGGGCTATAGATGAGTATGTCATCGAAGAACACTAGCACAAACTTTCTCAAGAACGGTCGGAACACCTTATTCATGAGGGCTTGGAAGGTGGCCGGTGCATTCGTGAGGCCGAAGGGCATGACTAATAATTCATAATGGCCTTCGTGAGTATGAAAGGCTGTTTTGTGCGTGTCCTCCTCTCGTACCAAAATCTGATGATAACCCGACTTAAGGTCGAGTTTAGAGAATATTGCTGCCCCATGGAGTTCGTCGAGTAATTCATCGATGATTGGGATAGGATATTTATCGGGAATTGTTTCCCGATTCAAGGCCCGATAGTCCACGCAGAACCTCCAAGACCCGTCCTTCTTCTTGACCAACAAAACCGGGCTAGAGAATGGACTGACCGACGGCTTAATGATACCCGCTTCAAGCATCTCCTTAATTAATCTCTCAATTTCATCTTTGAGGGTATCGGTATGGCCTTACGCTTACCGGGTTACTTCCCTCCCTCAACACAATGGCATGTTCGTGCCCCCGCTTCGGTGGTAGTCCATTTGCTGGTGAAAAAACCCCTTGAAACTGCTCTAGAATGCTGGCTAACCACCCTGGCACGGCGGTTTCTCCTTCTGTCTTTTTTCCCACCGCCTCCACGCAGTTAATTTCCAGCCATAATCCCCCACCTTCGTGGCGCAAGGTGCGGAGCATTGCTTTGAGAGTGATCTTGGTGCGTTCCAAGGTAGGATTGCCCCTCAATGTAACCTTCTCTTCACCCACTCGAAAACTCATGAGGTGAGTCTTCCAATTATGAACCACGGGTCCTAGCCACTCGATCCCTAAGATCAAGCTGGCGTTGCCCAGGCGGAGTGGAAGGAAGTTATCCACCACCACGAACCCCTCCTTAAGAACGACCCTCACCCCTTTACACCTGCCTCTTCCCACAATGATGTCGCCGTTCCCCGGAGAAACGTTGAACTCATGGTCGTCCTCCACCGGCACCCCTGCTTCTACCACCAAGTCATCGGCGATAAAATTATGGGTTGCCCCCGGATCTACCAATATTACCACCGGAGTTGGTCCCACCCTACCTTCGAGTTTCATGGTTCGCGGCGTATAGAGCCCCACCACGGAGCAAAGAGACGCCCCTGGTGCTATCTCGTCTTCGCTGGAGTCAGTTTCCGGCGTTTTTGAAGGTCCACCGCCTTCATCGCCTCCATCGCCGAGCAACAAGACGCTCATCTCTCTATTCTTACACCTGTGTCCGACGCTCCAACGCTCATCACAGCGAAAGCACAGCCCTTTCGCCTTTCTTTCTTGATGCTCAGCGTCAGTCAACCGCCGCGGCTCGTTAGATCTGGCTGAGACGGTGCTGGTGGCCCTTGGAAAATTTACCGAGGCTTGGGATTCAGATGGGGCCTTGGGCCACCCTTTAAATGAAGAGGCTTGCTGGGTTGGAAATCCGTATGTATTAATGAGACCCGATCCAGATGCGGGTTTGGATCCAGACGCTCCAGATCCACTTGCAATTGATTTACCCGACCCGAAATAGTTGGGTGCCTTCTTTTGCTCGCCTACCCAATTCCTCTCTTCAACCCGACCCACAATTTCCATGGCCTGTTCTAGGTTGAAGGGATTCATTAGTCTCACATCAGCCTTAATTTCATCCTTGAGCCCATTTATAAAATGGCCCATCATAATAGTCTCGGGTATATCTTCCAACGGAGCTGAGAGTTCAATAAATCGCTTACGATACTCGAACACGGTGGTTTCTTGGCTTGCAGCCAACCACTGCTCGTGGAGGCTTCCGGCATGAGTCGGTCGGAATTGTCGCAAAACCCTCGCTTTCAAGCTATCCCAGTTTGGAATTGGTCGCCTTCGATTTTCCCATTGAAACCACCTCAGGGCATCACCCTCTACGGCGGAGACGGCGGCTTGCAACTTCTGTTCCTCCGTGAGGTTGTAGTGTTGGAAGTACTTCTCCCCCTTAAGTATCCATCCGTCGGGATCTACGCCTTCAAAGAGCGGCATGTCTAGCTTCCTTGGCTTCCACCGGTTGTCGCCGCCGCCGTTCGACTCATTCCAGTTGCGCATCATAAAGGTTCCACCCTGCCCTTGTTCATGATTCCTCTGATTCACCAAGGTTCGCAGCTCCTCGAAGAACTGAGCTTGAGTGGTGGTATTGACCGTCATCTGAGCTTCGAAATAACTCGAATCGATTATCGAGTCGTTGAACAGCCTCCTCCATTGTCTCCTCCTGAGTCTTCATTGCTGTCTCCAAGGTCTCCAGATGGGTTCGAACCCCCGTCATTTGGTCTTCCAAGGCTTCGCACCTCTGAGTTGCGGAGGTCACCATTTTTCTATTTTTTATTTATTTATTTTTTAATCGACAGAGTCCGGAAGGACGGTGGTTGCCGGTGCCGGAGGTCGCAGGACCGCCTGCTCTGATACCACTTGTAACGTTTTACTTGTGCTTTACTGTAATATTGGGATTTGAAAGCAATAAAGATGATATTTTTAGGGAAGAAGGCAGCTATTTCATTGAATAAAGATTGAATCTTGCAACAAGGTGGCTTGAGGCCACTACTCTCTACTAGCACCTTTAGGGCACAATGCTCTACACTCTAAGGTTTACAAATTACCAGCTACCCCGCACACTCCTACTCCCCCTTTACTTATATGTACACAATCAGCCAAAAAAAGGAAGAGGACAAAATAAGTAGCAGCTGTCATTCTTAGAGAGGGCTCTGCCAGCAATCATTAGCTTGATTTGGTGGCTCCTCTGATGGGCCTTGCAGCTGCTGCCCCTTCTTCCTTTTGCGCTCATAGGTGATCCAATCCTTGTTGTGCTTGCTACCCACGGCATTCGTTGCACATGGCTAATTAATGAATTATAGGGCATACAAGAACAGTATGCTTTCTTATTAATGAGTGAATAAAGTTATTGTTATGCCTGGTTCTTTCTTATTACATCTACAGTTTATTTCGCAACCATATAAAGACTCAAATACAACCTTTATTGCACCCATCTCCTTCCCCTTGCCTCCTCGCCTTTTGTGCAAGGCATTTAGATGTGGGGGATGGTGATTAGAAGCTAGGTTACTATGTCATTCAACATGTTTTACAAGCTGAAGTTGGTCTTTAACCTTTGGGTGGTTTTGAACTTGCTTGTTGATTTCTCTTCTTGGATCCTCATTTGATATTCTTATGATACAGGGTGTTTACTATTATTTCTATCAAATATTCAGGAATAAGGTTGAAGCTATTGCTCTTGACCGCAGGAAGAGAGGACTTGGGGATGGATCTGTTGGTATGTTGTCATCGTTAATTGTGGCTGCTATGTCTGGGTAATTACTTTTCCAATTTTGTTCTCTGTATTAGATATTCTATAATTTTGTTTTGTTGTTTTATTTATTCCTCGCCTTTCTAACTCTAGATTAACAAAGTACAAGAGGCAAAGTCATGTTTGGAACACCTCAAAATTTGATAACCCAGAAGTCTGGTATTGAACAGATTACATGAGCGAAAGCTCTATAATTGCACGACTTGAGCCCAACAAATTAAAAAAAAAAAAGCTTCGTCCGTTCCATAAATATCGAAACATGCAGAGTTTCACTCATTCTCTGAAATTTAGGTTTACAAGTAATTTTGAGGTGTTTCAAACATGACTTTGCCTCTTTTACTTTCTTATAGGTTTATTTTGCAAACTATGACATTGTATATTTGTATGGGTAGCTGGCAGCATGAAAAGAGTATGTGATATGTTTGTTAAATTTTTTTTGCACCATATGATGCGAGGTGGGGAAACTCTTTCAAAGTAGCTACTTTTCCCCTGTTAGTGTAACGTAGGTGTCCAAATCAAGCATATGTATAAATGCATATCACATGTCGCATGTCTTGTATCATGCTTTGTCTTTGTAAAATTGCTATTGGAGTTTAATTCACTTTCCAGTGCCAGCTCTTGCCCGTGGTAAGGAAATACAAGTTCAATCTTGTGTATAGGAGGATGTTTGGACACTTGAACAATTTGCCTACCCATTAAATCTGCTTCTTATGACTATTTTTTTTAATAGATACTCATTAATGAAACATCGTGCTTGATTTTCCCAACAAAAAGTCCCAACTTTGACTTTGATGGCATGACTCGTAGTGGGACTTTGTGGAGTTCATATATTTTGATTTTTTTCAAAGAAGGTTTATAATGAATTATTTCCCTTTTTTTTTTTTTGAAGTTTTTGATTAGTGTGTTATTTTCAATTTTTCATTCCTTTGTGAATATGTATTTGCCAGTTAGCATTTCATACATTTTGTAATTGTGTTATTGTCGCTTGTTTCTTATGTGTATGTATGTTACTGTGGCCTTTGCATGCCTTGTCCACCCTTACCATACTATTGTAAGGTGCGCTACATCTTATCATAGATCCCACATTCAATGGGTCATGATTGGATTGTTATTTTATACTGATAATTTATTTGTGCTAGTCAAATAATACCATTACATGTAATTAATGCTTTATTATATGATCAACACACTCTTAGTTCCTAAATTTGTTTTATAGAGCCTGATTTGATCCTATTTCTCTGTAACCTGTACTTACAGTAAGGCACTATCTAAGTTCCTTTTGTCTCCATTCTTTTAGGTGTACAAATGTGTTGCTGACAAATCCCATATGGGTTATTGTCATTCGGATGCAGGTAAGAAGTTTCAAACTGAAGCACAATAAGGAATATATTTTACTTTACGTCGACTTCTTTAAACACCTTCACTCCTTTGATCACATCTATTTCTTGCTCGCTTGCCCACCAGCTATCTGGGTGGTGTTATTGTTTTTGTTTGTATTGAATTTGTTTTGCTGCTGCTACAATTCCTCTCCTACTGGAACAAACATGTTCATTTGTTTAGATTTAGTGAATTTTTAATTTATTTCCAGTCCATTAATCAATAGTAATTTCAGATTCGCATATTGGTTAGTGTTGTGTCTTCTCCCTTGATTCTTTACCCCCGTTGTTTATGGCTGAAGTTTTATCAAGTCTGGATGGTATTGATACTCACTAGATTTTAAGCTAAGCAAGATACTCTATAAGCTTCCTAAAATATTGTTGGAATCTCAATACTGGGTGGGAGATAAGACTAGCCGGATATGACACCATAACACTTGAACTGAGATCAATCTGCTTATCGATCAAATCTTTGGGAGTTATATATTCCCATACCAATCTTTGGGCATGCTGTTTTTGCTAATTTTTTGATTGCCCCTGACCCCTATCTGTTCCACTTGAATCCTGTTAGATTCCTAATCCATGGAAGTAATTGTCAAGTTGGTTTTTTCTGAGTATATAATTATATATGTTACATGTTGTTGCCTCCTTTTTCTATCAAACACCCTGAGAAATTTTTCAGGCATATTGTCCAATTGCATTCGACTACATTTCTTTGTACATAATGCTAATTTTTCTTTACTTTCCACAGACGCACACTAAGGCTTCCAAGAAAGTACAGCCCAATCAAGCTATAAGATCTCCTGAAGATAGTTTAGTTGCAATGGAGCCACCACCTTATGGAACTAGCCATGCAGTATGTAATTGTTATGCCTTTTTACTCTCTTCTTTTCCTTAGAGCTTATTTGTTTTAGTTGTTTTCAATCCTATGATTGCCATGTTTAGAATTGTATAAGCATCTTGTTCAAGGGCTGAATTTCTCCTTTTTATTCCCCCCACCCCCAGCCCCAACAAGAATAAGCTTCTTTTTCCTGTATGTTCGCTTATTGTGCCAAAGAAGAGGGATCATAAATGTACACAAACTTGAGTTCTTGACACAGGGCTTCTATTTTAAAATGACCTGTCTTTTATTTATAAACAAGTTTTATGGTGCTTCTTGATTGTGCATCTAGCTCGTTCTTTAAATTTGGGAGTGGTCTTCGAGTGCACTGTTTCTTGCTCTAACAAGCAGTAGTATTTTGTAGATTCAAGAAGTTTATGATGAAGCTGGATTTTGGGGCTTTTGGAAAGGTGTAATACCAACATTGATAATGGTATATATCCTCAGGTTATTTTATATATATATATATATATAATAATAATAATAATAATATATATATATATATATATTATTTTCTTTTGTAAAAAAGGTATGTGATTGACCATGTGTAATGGGTTTCCAGGTAAGCAATCCATCTATACAGTTCATGCTGTATGAGACCCTATTGAAAAAGCTGAGGCAGAGGCGTGCAATGAATAAAAATGATAGCAAGGGAGTAACTGCTTTAGAGGTTAGTACTTATCTGAATTTAGAAGTCATGCGTCACCAAATTCTGGGCATCACATTTGTGGCTTGTTCATTTCCTGCTTGTTTAAAAAACTGCACTCCCCCTTTTCCCAATTCTCTTCTTCGCTGTCTATTAATTTTTAATCCATTTGAATTGTTTGTATTTGTGTTAGTAGATATTTTTACTTGGGGCTGTAGCAAAGCTTGGAGCTACTGTCGTGACATATCCCCTTTTGGTGGTAAAGGTAAAGACTTCATATGTTTTTAACAGCTGGTTTTAAGAAAGTGGTTGGCGGTGAAAATTTACACAGATGGACATCTTGAATTTGGTTATATTCTCATTACAGCAACAAGCCAACAACCTTCTACTTATTTATCTAGGGCAAGATCTGGCTAGAATTAGTTGTATGCAACATTAACACATCTAATTAAAGATCATCAGTCCCCCCACCTGAAAAAATCCACAACAAAAGTTATTTTATTCTTTGAAGTAAGTCAGAAAATTAGTTAGGCCTTTGCGTTCAGTCAATATACACAAAGTGGATTGATCCCTTAGGAACCCCTGACATGGCTGACAAAGCTGCTGTCCGATGGGTGCAGAAAAATGACAAATTATTTTGACTAAGGTTCGTTGGAGCAGATTAGATGATTAGGCTGACTTTCATTGCCCCTTCCCTCGCATTCCTTTAATTTAAACCTTTTTGTGTTGTCATGTCCCAAACACCATTTATATGCAAAGTATAAAAGCCATCTAATTATTTGTATTATTCCTCTTTGCAGTCGAGGCTTCAAGCAAAGCAAATTGCTGGCACAGACACAAAGCATCACTACAAAGGCATGTAAATTTTTGGCTTAATCATTTTCTCCCATTTTTTGATCCAACGACCCAATTCTAAAATACAACACCAACTAGTGTTCTGTATATTGAGGATCAGGCTCTTGGAAGGTGAAGATGTACAAATATGACCTTTCGCTTAACCTCTGTCTCTCAGACTTGGGTGCTTGTGTTAGTGTTCGATTATCTTTCTTAGGAAAATTTCCATGTTCATCATTCAACTGTTCAAAACCATATTGGAGTTACAACTTACAAGAAGCAAGATGAAGAGTTGAGGTGAAATGGAGACTCCTATAAGGCCATAGGTACATAATCTTAGAGCCACCTTCAATGACCTGTTTCCCTTGTCTTCAGGCACATCCACATTACAGAATTATAATTGAAGGAAAACCATACTTCATAGTACTTGCCTGGTATCTACAACTGATAATAAAAAAAGATTTTCAGCAATCACGATAGGATTACTAGGCTAAATGACATATATCTGAGGGTTCCTAGCTTCCCATATTGTACCAATACTTCTAGGAATTACAGCACACAATCTGAGTATCACCAGATTTTCCCTTTACCCTCCGAATCAGGTAATTAACAATGATCTTCCAGTCATGAGGCGTGGGTAGAGTTTGTTTTTCATGAAATGCAGCCATCCAAACATAGCGTGGATAAACACAAAAGAACATAGGAGGGGCCCAACGGCCAGCTGTCTTTTGTGTGAATCACAGACAGCATGTGTGATCCTATATGGTGCAGGTAGAACTTAGAAAGCCTACCAAGCATTTGACCCCCTTTAATCTATTTGTGTGTATGGAAGAAAAGAATACCCAACAGAATTAGACCAATCCAATTTGAAAGGCCCTGTTGCAGGTCATTATAACCACATCACCACCATTTGCTAACTGTTTATTACTTATCACTTCCTCAACTTTTTTGAGGACCCAAGAAGCATGAGAAGGGTACCACTGTGGGCCTTTAAACAATGTTCTTACCTTTCAATGTTTCAAATGTTACTCATATGTCCACTAACTCTACTTGTAAAAAAAAGTCATGTGTCTTACTGAAGGACCAAGATGACTTCAACAGTAGCAGAATTTTACTAGTAATGTTGCAGACGTCCATAACTTGATGGATGCATTAGTGGGATGATTATGACTTTCAGGACCTAATTATACCCCATATATATTACTTCGCTTTCTATTAACTGTATAGGGTGCATTCTATTAACTTTGTTATTTGCATTTGAACTCACGAGAAATTATTTTAGCCGTAAATTGAACTTGGATGGCCTTATTTTTCTTGAACTTAATCTATCTAACTTATTTTTTCTATACTTATTAACCCGGGCCATTACTTTGCAACCTAGAATGAGCCACACAGTAACTTGTGGAACTTTTGCCAATATTGGCTATTATTGATAATTCATTTCTCTACTCAAGGCCATGACCATGCTTGTGGAGGTGTACATTAGACAGCGAGAAGTTTATATGATTTCTTCCACTCTTTTGTGTTTATGATTGAACTTCTTGTGTATGCTGTGCTATTCACTTATTTTTTTGCTTCTACCATTTCAGGTACATTTGATGCGCTCACGAAGATAGTTAATAATGAGGGTTTGTCTGGATTTTACAAAGGGATGAGCACAAAGATTGTACAAAGTGTTCTTGCAGCTGCCGTTCTATTTATGATTAAGGAGGAATTAGTGAAAGGAGCACGTTTATTGCTTTCAAAGAATGGTGCCTTATCAAAACCTCAATAGTTGTAGACTTGTTTTATACTCACCGGAGGTATTCCTTTCCAGCTGCAAAAAAAAAAAAAAAAAAAAAAAAGAAAAAAGAAAAAAGTGAAGTAAAATCCTGGCTGAGTTGAGCCAATTTATGGGCTTCAACTATAACACGTATTCTCTGATGAAGGAAGGAATCATGTGAGTTACTGGAAGTGCAGCTCCTGTTATGAATGATCAAGCAAGGGATTCATATTTCAAGTAGCCGAATTGTAAAATGTTTAACTTGATTTGTAAGCCTGAGGGATAGCTCCTCTTAATTATCGTGTTATTCATATTGATTTTTTTTGTCAAACACATATTAAATCATGTATTCGCGCCATTGGAGCTCAGCGCTTCAGCATAGTGGTAAATTATTAAAGCATTCTGCTTTCCGTATACACCTTATATTTGAGGTTATGACGACAGGGATAGCTACAACTAAATGTACGATAGTCCCTTGCTATTGTCTGGCACTAAAGTCTACACTGATGTTTACTGGAGTTCAAAAGGATGATCACAAGATTCAAAACCAAGTAAAATGATGTTCCTTTGCCTTAGCTGGAGGAGAAAGTGTGACAATCGTTAATGAAAAGTACCCTTCCTTTCTTTCCTTCGTATAGTCGCTTTATTTTAGTTAGATTGCTATATTCATATACGATCCTTTCAAGCTATGTCTTGCGTCGTTCGTGATTCATAAAAATAGGAATTCGATACAGTATATGCTATGCCTTTTCAATAATTTGGAAACAAAAAAATGGAGAAATTATTCTTATTGTGCACTTGAAAATTACTTATCCATCTTTTTAAATTGTTCATTGAGTTTTCATTTAGGGGTCTATTTTCATATTCAATAGGAGTTAGAAGGGAAATTTGCTACGAGTACTTCTACGGTGTGAGCCTACGAAGGAGAATTAGCAGGCCAGGCCTCCTTGTCCATGTAAAAGTTTACATGACTATGGTCTACCCCTTAACAATCAAGTATAGGAATGATCATAATGTATACGCATGGTTAAGTCACCCTAAATTACATATGAAGATCCTTTACAAATAAATAAATACATCATGTGAAGAAGCACTTGTAAGTTGTAATAGTTACAAGTTTTTTTTTTTTTTTTTTTTTTTTTTTTAAAAAAAAAAAAAATTGAAACAATACTTGTGTTTGTTAGTTGTTACAATCCTATATAAGGGTATAGTTATAAATGAAAAAAAAAATGAAAATATAACATTAATTACACTAATTAGTCCATTATTTTATAACAGATTCTTAAATTAATATAATACGGAGTATAAAATTAGTAAAAATATTACTCGGAAATAATTATTTATAGCTCTAAAAGCTATATACTGTATATGGTAACCTTTCAAAATAAAATAAAGATCTCACACTCCTTTAAGAAAAACAGGAAAAAAAAAAATCTCACAACTACCCAACCCATTGAATGGCCACAAAAAATCTTATCAAAATTAAGGAGCATGTTTAAAGTCGGCCCATAAGCATAATAGCCAAAAGGTCGGTCCAAGCCAAGGTACTCGTACTCATAATATCTACTCCTACAATTTCCCTTAAAAAAAATAAATAGAAGATAACAAAAATGACAAGAGTACCGCCTTAAACTAGCCTATCTCTGCGACTCTATAGTAAAGTTACCCCACACTGACGTATTTACTATGCTATTCGCCCGGATCTTTCTCTGATTACGGGTCCCACCTTACATCACTTTACCAACGTAGTGGGCCCCACAATTATTGGACATCTACTTGGAGCCCCCTTGGCATTCTTCTTTTTAAAACCTAACTACTCCTTAACAAAAAAAAAAAAAAAAAAAAATCATCAATATCAACTTTGTGAAAAATACATTACTCCGTATAAAAGTGTATTTTTAACACAAAACAATGGAAGGGTCGGTTCTTTTCCAATTATTTTCAATTCATTTTAGTTCTTAATATCCTTCTTTCATAAAATATTTTATTCAATTCAGTCAATCAGAACATGCCCGAAAATATTATATATAAAATCCTTTAAAGTTACATATGTAGTATTCCATATAAGAAATTAAAAATGGAAATAATAAATGAAAATATAATATGGAGTACTACGTATTAATTAATTATACTAATTTGCGCGTAATTTTTAAATTTTTTTTACCATGCTATGCCAAGGTGCATTTTTTTAAAAATTTTATCAACTCCCCGCTTGTGAATCTAGTAAATTAATCAATCTTAAGTTTTTTTTTTTTTTTTTCCAAAAAAAAAAAAGTTTTTTTTTAATTTTTTTTTTTTAAGAAATCAATCTTAAATTCTTAATACACCCTCTTAAACTTTTGAAACTTTGATTAAGAAAAAACTTAAACAAAGGAGTATTTGGTCTGTGTATTTTTAAAATTGAAAACGGATTCAATTAAATCAATAGCGTTACCGTGTGTTATATTTGAAAGCATGGTAACGATTATCGTTACTTAAGGGACTCCTCATTTGTTACCTCTAAAAAACTTGGGATAACATATACTTTTTTCATAGCTAAAACAAACAAATAAAAAAAGTAATACGAAGTAATTAAATGATTCTTTTTCTCCTCTTATTCGTTTCCTTTCTACTCCGTTTTTATTTTACGAACCAAATACCCTCTAAATGAGATCCACAAAGTTTTTGACGTGGGGCTTAGCTAATCAAAACGCGCCGGATTTAACCCTATTCCAATAAACCCTAATTAACCTTACAACTTCACGTCCGCCACTCTTTCGCTGTATAAATACTATTCTCTCTCCTCCCTTATCATCTTATTTTGGAGTTTCCGAACTACGGCTGCGGGTTTCATTGCAGATTTCTCATTTTCTCTCTCTTCTTTCCACCGGATAATTTTCGCCGATTTTATCCTGGAGATTTTGGTTTTGATCGATCGATTATTCTTCTGAGATTTCTTGGAAATTTTGTTACTATTTGACGAACTTTTAGCTTTTGATCTAGGGATTTGGATTTCATAATTTATTATTTCGATTAAATTTTTCTAAAGCTGTGCCATTTTTTGGTGGAATTTTCGAGGAATTAAGTTGTTAGGGTTTTGAATCTTAATAATCAGAGCAGAGATGGCAGATTCGAAAAGGCAAGAATCGATGAACAGCGACAGAATTAATGGAGAAGATGATTTCCGACGATTTAACAGCGATGAGAATGTTGAATCGGAAGAAGCGAGTTCGACGGTTGAATCTTCGGTCGGAAATTCAACGGCGAATGCTGTTAGTAATGGATCAGCAAGTTTGGCGGATCGATTGGGAGAGATTTTAGTTGATGAAGGTAATGGAGACCTTTTGCTTCAACAGAGTGATAGGGAGAACAATTTTTTGCAGTGGCTTCAAGCTTTGGATGTGCAGCATATGGGCGCTTGTCGTGCCGATGAGAGGTTGAAGCCTTTGTTGAAGGCGAATGCTTCTTCCGGTGCCGCCGAAGATCGACTTCTCTCTCATCTAAGTCAGGTGATTGTTGAACTTGAAAAGTATACACTAATGAATGCTGAAATTGAATTCTAATTTTAGGTTTTGATTTTGTTTGTTGAATGGACAGCACTTTGAAACCTCTGAAGTTGGGCTGCTTGCGAGGTGTTTGTGTGTTCCTCTTGTTTCAATGCGAGTTGGGAAGGTGCTCAAGCAAGGATCAATGTTGTGTCCAACTTCTGCGAGGTATATCGATCAAACTTAATGTAAACCTTGATGTTATCTGGTAGTCACATTGTGTGAGATTATATGAGTCTTGGGAAAATGTTGTAGTTATGATACTATATGTCATGATATCTTATAGCTGGTTTAAGTTAGAATACTGTTGATAGTTGTATATATATGCATCTATGGGCTGGGCTCTGGGTGTTTTTCGAACTGTTTTGCCGGGTTTTGATTGCACATGTTACTGAATTAGAATTTTTTGTAGGCTGCTAGGAGTTATACCTTTTTTTGATTATGTGTAACTTGATGATCTAGAGTGATCTAGAGGTAGTCTAGTATGCATAAACTGTGGTGCTACGAGTGTGATGATGTTAATAGGTGTCTAATTTGCTTAATTTAATTGGTTTTTCATTTAAGTTTTTCTTTATATGTTTGATTGTCTCTGGTTGTGTACAAAAATTATGTTTTTTCAGGATATTCTGAGGTTTTCATGGGATCAACGTGTTGGAAACTCATTCATGCTAGAATATCAATCCAGGTCGAGTGTGTTTCGGATTGTATCCCTACTTGTGCTCTTTAAGAATTGATAGGACTTGTTATTTTAAGTGGTATAGTTCAGTACTGGTTTTGATTTTTTCTTGACTAGTTGGGGCTTTTCATTTATCTAGCTATCCCGAATAAGGTTGTCTTGGCAGGTTGTCTACCATGTAGATCAATGTCATCTTGTTAGCATACGGATTTTGGCATTATGTTGTATTGTGATTGTGATTATTTTGAGTGGCTTAATATCTTTCTTTCCTCTAATATTGTGTTGTGATTGATTGGAAAAAATAGAATTACAAGATCACTCGTGAACTGACATTATACTCTGATCACTGTTTGTTTGTATCTCTAAGGACTAACATATCTAGATGATTTTGATGTGCAATGTTAGTTTTCTTCTCATACTTCACTTATCACATGATCATAGCTCGTTTACTATGAAACTTCTTAATTATTGTGTTTATGTTATGTAAACAACCTCTTGGTTTGCATTGGGGGTGGTGGTTAAGGTTTAGTGCATTAGACTTCCTTACCTTTCTAGACGGTAGCCTTATTGAGTTATCTGGTAAAATAACATTGATGTGACAAAAATTGGCTAATTGGTGTGGGTGGGAAATACTTCATATAGTTGTGAAATCTAAGTAGGGATGCTGATCCTGTATTTTATTGATGATGACAATGTTCATCCTTCCAAATGAAAATATCTTTTCACTTGTAGGTAAATTGGACGTATCTATAATGATCTCTGAATTAAGAAGAAACGAAGGTAGTTTCATACCCTAATGTTATATATAATCTGCTTCGTTTGCACTTAATATCAGGACCTTTATAGTGTGATTCTGTATTTTTTATTATTCATGGCTTTTGTATAAATATTGCTTTTATTTCAAATATGTTAATTTTGGTCTTTAGTGAACTAGTGATGCTATAAACTTTAGCAATTACTTTGGTATTCTTGATTCAAATTTTTTGATAAATTGATTCTGAACGTATTCACAAATCTTTTACTTTGTATTTTACATCTTATTCTTGTTTAATGCAGAACATATATATTTGATTTTTTTAGCCTGATATAATTATTTTTATCAAAAGTTCTTTTTACTTGTTACTAAACAAGAGTCTTGATCAGAAATTTTGTTTTTGTTTTTTTTTTTTTTTTTAAATAATGGACAATGTTAAAACTTTTGCACGGATGTTACCTC